CACAAACATTTCAACCAGTGTGTTCTCAGGCTGGCAGATATTGATAACTACTCACTGCTGGGTCTGTGAGCACTGGAATTATGCAGTTACCTGATCTATCCAGTCGTTCTTTAAAGCTGAACATCAACTGTCTTAAAAGTGCTTTGAATGTGGAATCTCTGACATGAGAGGCTAAATGTTTACTTAGGTATTAACAACTATTAACAAATAAACCACCAAATAGCACAGAAAATGTGACGAAACTGCGCTCACCATGTTGGCATTTGTTGTCTCTGGTTGCTATGGCATCGCGGGGATACAAACAAGAGGTGGGCGGATCGATACTAAATATCGATACCAGCGCTGGTATAGAGCAACACTCGTGTAAAAAGATCGATACTCAAGCTTTGTTCTTTCTTTCCCGCACACATTGACTGCTGCACACGAGATTTTTCAGTCTACTCTGTCTGTAGTGCTGCACTCACACACAGCACAGAGCAGCGCACCCCCCACCCCCAGTCTTTTGTTGTTGCACCGTCACGTGGCTCAGCAGCGCTAGCCAAACAGCTAAGCTAACTAAGCAGGTAGGCTGGCCCACCCTACTCAGCACTCAGGTGTAGTTCTCACTGAGCCCTCTACCTCAGGAGATTTTGTTTTAAGTTGTGTTGAGTGATATTTTTTAATCTGTTTATTTGAATAAAACTATGGAAGCCCATTTCCGCCACCCTGATAAAAAAAATAAATAAAACTTGTATCTCATAATTATGACTTGGCTATCTTATAATTATGAGATAGCTAAGTCATAATTATGAGATACAAGTTTTATTTTTTTATCAGGGTGGCGGAAATGGGCTTCCATAAAGAACAGTTTACAAAACACATTTTCAGAACTTTTTATTTTTGCTTTTTTAGTCATTTTATGAAAATAATTTCATTTTGCATAATAAATATATCTCTTATTTACAGTGGTGGCTTCACTAACTCATAATCTATTAACTAATAATATAGCTGCACAAACACCAAATCACTAGATATGTAAAAATACGAGCAGAAGCTAATGCTAACAGCTAATTGCTAAGACACCTGTCGCTCATGTTTTCCTCTCCTTCCAGATGAAGACAGGTGGGACTGACAAACCTGATGATGTTAGTTTCTTAGCTGTTAGCTGACTTAAAGTTGGCAAAGTTTCGCTAACAGTTATCCAAGTTAATGATAACCCACTAAAACAAAAAATAATAATGAAATACAAAATAGCTGATAAATGCCCACCACTGCTTTTTTTAAAAACTAATTTTCTTTCATTGTTTGTCGTTTGAAGCACAACAAACGTTACACCTCTGAGGACCTCCACCATCGGCTCAGAGTATTTACAGAAAACAAGAGGACAGTTGATAGTCACAATGCTGGAAATCACTCCTTTACAAGTAAAATTAATTAACTCAAGCCTCACACAGTGTCATTTTAAACTAATGAATCACCATAAGGAATACTGTTTAATGTAAAAAAAAAAAAAAAAACAGGTTTATTTGTATAAAGTCACATTCTGCTCATTCTGATCTCCAGTGGGCCTGAACCAGTTCTCAGACCTGACCTTTGAGGAGTTCAAGAAAATCTACCTTCAGACGCCGCAGGTGGGAATCATCAGACTGTGAAACACTTTAATCCGGAGGGATGAAGAGAATATTTTCAGATGAGATTAACTCGTGAGTTTGGGTTCTTGTAGATCTGTTCAGTCACTAAAGGGAACCACGTCTTCGGCACCGGACCTCACCCAGACTTTGTAGACTGGAGGGTGAAGGGAAACTTTGTGACGCCTGTGAAGAACCAGGTATCCTCAAGTGAACCTGAAAACATGTAAACAAACTAAAACCTGAGATAAACATCCTGTACGTGCTAGAGACGCCTTTAAATCCTTTCTTCTTGTGCAATAAATAGTGCATTTCACCACTCTGTTTATCACCATTATAGATTATGCCACCATGTTTGTTGTGTCTTTAGTGAGTAAAGTTTACAATAATTTTGCTGCTGAAAAAGTTATTTATAATTTAACAGCCGGATCAGCGTCAGAGCCGTGTTAAATAAAGGGATAACCTGGATATTTTTAAAGCAGGGCTGCAGGTAAATTTAGAACAAACCTCACATGATAGCGCTCGGAGGAAGTTGTTTTTTATCAGGGGCAGATGTACAATTTTTTCTCCTTCTTTTTGCTCCTTTTTTATTCAATAATTGATATATTTTGTTTTTTTAATGGACATATTTTCAGCCACTACAGGATGTAGTTTTTACTGGAATGTTTTTCCTCTCACACAATAAAATCATATTTGTTAAAACTAATATAAAAACAAATAACTGAATTATAATTGCAAATATTATTAATTATTTGTGAAGGGGAAGCCCCCCCTCCCCCACATATAAAATTGAATTGCTTTGGACCCCCACATTCACAATAAAATATTAGTTCACACAGCTCTGTTTCTATTTGCTAACAGAGAGCTTCTTAAACTGGGGTCCCAGGACTCCCAGGGGTCCACGAGCTGTATCTTGGGGGTCCTCAAAAAGTTATAATAAATTGTTAATTTGTTTTTTATTTTAAAAAATGCATATGGAGAATAATGCACCAGTGAAACAAACATGCTAAACCAAACAAAAACACTATTCCCATGGAGTTCAGGGATTAACATGACAGTAAATTATTTTTAAAACAGCATGGGTTTTATGGGGGGTCCCTGGAAATGTTTCACCCCTGTAAGGGGTCCTCAGACCCAAAATGTTAGAGAACCCCTTCCACTTGACTTACAGAATATAGTGTTTATTTACGTAGGTAAAAGTCTGTTTAACAACCTGTTAAAATGCAGCAGAGTGAAGGAAATGGCATCTAATTCATTCAAACTTTTCTGGAGGAGGACCCCCAGACCCCCCACCTGTGATTTTAAACATTGTTCTCTCCTAAATCAAATACCATACAGCCCTGATCACAATTTTGGGCAAAAATCTAAATATGGCGTTATTTAGCAGCTGTTCGCAGCGACCGATAGTGACAGTGGCTCAAAACCTCACTTCAAGCTCAGGTCAAAACTTGAGAGCCCTGCTTAAACTAAAAACCTTCCAATACACAAACATGAACATGAAAAATATCTATCTTCATACAGGGCAAGTTGGGAAACTTTTTGACTGAAGTAAATTAAAAGTTGTTTTTTTTTTACCTTGATGTCTTCAGGGTTTCTGTGGCAGCTGTTGGACGTTCTCTACCACCGGCTGTCTGGAGTCAGTAAACGCTATTGCAACAGGAAAGTTAATATCTTTGGTGAGCACTTTTAGCTACTTCTCATCATGGATGTAGAAAATATTAAAAAAGAAAGAATGTTATGACCAAATTAATATGTGACCCATCACATCGAAATGAGGATTAAGTCAAATTTATTCAAAATGACCTAATCATTTTCAGATTCTTGGCTTTAAAAACTACATTTTGGTTCTTAGATCATCATTAGGAGATCTAGAGATAACATTTAATTTGTCTTGTTGGTAACAATAATGCATAAATATTTGGTCTGAATCCTTATTTTATGTAATTTTAATGAGGATTTGTTTATGTCATTTGAAAAAAAGAAACCTCAAATAGTAGCGGGTAAAATAAGTATTGAACACGTCATCATTTTTCTCAGTAAATGTATTACTAGAGGTGCTAATGACATGAAATTTTCACCAGATGTCGGTAACAACCCAAGTGATCCATACATACAAAGAAATCAAACCATAAA